TGGTAATTTCTGAACCTATATCTAGTAGTGAATTCAGCTTATATGTGGCTTTAGATTTCTTAAGTACCCACTTCTGTTCTCAATAACAGGCCACATGAGCTGTGCTTTGGAACAAAATGCCATAAATATTGAACCTAAGTTTTCAGTCATACACTGTTCTTATTTCAAGTGCCAAAATGAGACATCCTTATAAACAGGGCATAAACCTGTACTGAGACTCTGTGGCTTCTCTCAAATGGTGAAGTTGGCAACAGTTGAGCTTGTGGTAGACATGATGGAAGCAGAATTTTTAGAAAAGGACACTGTTAATAATAGACAGTGTTGTTGGTATGGTGCAATGGGCTGTAAATACCCATGATGTGCTGTACTGTGGGTAAACCTATTTTTTCCCTTAGTGGGAAGGAAATTGGGCAATTTCCACTCTTGCAATTTGCAGCCTGATCCAATGTCTGTTTACTCCAAATGAGTCCCACTGCCCTGGTAGGATTTACTGCCAAATAAGCAAATAGGAATGTAGGTTTACAGGCTTTGTGTCTATATCCTGCTACTTGATTTGAGGGCCAGTCAAGACTGTCTGTTTTATGGTTTATAAGTTATTTACTTGCCACAGAGTAATTGGATAATCTTATAAGAAGTCCTTTGATCTATACTTTAGGTGATGCAACAAACTTAAGTAATCCAGGATAAGCATAGCTATAGTTTTAGATCACTATAGCATGAATTATGTTTTATTAAACTGTTGATGTAATATTAATAAATATAACCATGTCAGAAGACATCCCCTCCATTTCCAGAACTCATTTTCATTACTTTCATTTCATCTCACACAAATGGGACTTGCCACAAAAATACTGGTTTTCAAGATTTTTGTGCTCTAGTCCTGGGTTCAGATATGCAGTTTCTAAATGGTCCATTGTATTGGTTGAAAGTATATCTTGGGATATACTTGTATCCCAAGAATAAGGTTAAAAAATAAATTGCCAAAGCATTTTGAGATCTTCTGTGAGGAGGCAAAATCTCATATATTTTTCATGTTCTCAAGTATAATCTTGTCAAAATATTGTGAGATTTTGTATATCTGGGTCTCTGGGAAGGTCTAGAAATGGTTGACCCTTCTCTCTCCTTTGTATTCTCCCCTTCCACTCTCCATGATTGTCAGACAGTATTCTCTGACAACTCAATGTTGTTTGATTATTCATGATGATGGTACAGATATTACATATCTCACATTGGAAGGGTAAAGCCACACCTGATTTACAAAACCGGATTGCCTATATATGTAATTTAATTAGTCTTTTTTCCACCAGGAAAGAAAAGAATGTTTTAGGAAAGGGCTTATTTATTTCTGAACATATGCAAAGCTTGGCACACCCTCCATTTATCATTTTTTACTACTATTAGGATAAATAGGTGAAAAAATCCATAGCCAAAAATATAGATAATTATATTTTTAATTGCGCTTGAGACTTGACCTCCAGTCTAATGTAAAACATATAGATGTAGATGTATAGATGTTGAGTGAAAGGAAAAAAATGTGTATTTTTCAGATTTCTACAATGAACGATCTTACATGTGAAATTTCAATCATTTGGTCTATAACATTCTTGAGCAGTTTTAGGGTGCTTTGAAGTGAGAGATCCAGTAAAAATCTTACACTTTCAGATACTACAAGCATTCAATCTATAGTGGTCTATGCATTTGCCAATATGTGCTTTTTAAAATGTTAACGATATTAGTACAAAGCATTTGAAAGCGGTGTGGGAGTGTTCACAATGTGCTCCAGCTGTTTCCGTGTGTGTGTGTGTGTGTGTGTGTGTTTGGGGGAAAGCCACTTCACTTGGCTAAAATGGCTGCGGACACACATGCACGAAGCGATCGCTGGAAGCCTGCTCCTCCAGCCATAGTTGTAAAAAACAAACTGAAACAAGAACAAAAAGGCTTCCTGTCATTTTGGTAAAAAATTAGAGTGTAAATCTTAGAAAAGACTTTTCATCATCATAACAAATACATAGCCGCATTTGAAACAGGAGCACTGGCCTGGAAAAAGATATGGTTCATTTATTAATTAAAAATGGGTTCTTCTTAAATGATCCTGCATTTGAAGGGATTTGTACACTCATAACAAAACTGAACTTTTTACTGTTATCCTTTTGTGGTTCTTTTTGTGATAAATAAACTTGTACACATTAAATGGCCCTATAACCTTTCTGTAACATGTAATTTATTATTAATTCAGTATGAATTGGTTGTAAAAGTATTTGTTTATACAAGAGATAATTCCGTTGTAGTTAATCCTTTGTTGCCCCCAAACTTTGCCTCTAAGTGGACAGTTTAAGTAGCCAGATTCTTAATACAATGATGAACTGTATTTTGACACTATGTCCATTTCTATCAGTCATTTCTCCTTACACGGCTTTGAAGATTTCATTGAAGTTGTTGGGGAAAATTAATTTAATTGTACAATTAACATTGTTATACCTTCAGTTTTAAGGGAGGTGATGGGAATGGGATCCTTAATTTCCATTGACAGAAATGTAAGCTGTATCTTTCTGGGCTTCCAATAGAACAAGGTAGTTATAACTAATACAAATTGACTTACTCCTTAAAAAGAATAACAGAGATAATTTCCAGTTATATGCTGCTATATTTTATTTTACTTATGGATGTTTTCTATTCCCTTTCCAATACAAAGAATTAATTCATTCCAACATACAAAGCTTTTTTTTCTTTTTAAACTGATTTCATCCACAGATTGTATCTCTTCTCTTCTCTTCTCTTCTCTTCTCTTCTCTTCTCTTCTCTTCTCTTCT